GAATGGCAGTAAATCTATTCGATGATACCAAACCCAGATCTCACAAATTAGTGATGAGAGAGATGTTTTTTTTTTTCTTTTTTAAATAATATTAGTAACTTTGGATTCAGACCAGCAAAGAAATTGAGTCGGAGCGCTGTATACATTTTAAGTTACGAAAATCATGTCATAATGGTTATCGCTCAATTTATATTAAGGACACTGACGTACTCATATGCATCCCATATCATTTGCAACTAATAAAATGGTTTTATGTACTGATAACTTACTTAACTTTTACGGACTGATAGAGAATGAAGAAAAAAGATGTGTGTGTGTGTGTGTGTGTGTGTGTGTGTGTGTGTGTGTGTGTGTGTGTGTGTGTGTGTGTGTGTGTGTCATGAAGATAAGCACATGATTTTAGCATCACTTGAAATTAGGGTTGCCATCTTGTTTTGGAACAAATATAGTATTTTTTCCAAATAAAGATGCAAAAATATAGTATTTTTGAGAAATTATGGAGAAAAAGTACACATTTATTTTTATATTTTATGTATTTTTCCAAAAATATTTGTAATTGCTCTTTACTTACTTTACCTTTAAAATAATTATAGGAGACAAGTTGAGCAATTTAGATTACTATTAAAATAAATTAACAATGAATTTTCAATTAAAGTAACACATGCTCTATTTCTTTCTGCTTTCAATTTTACATTCAAGACGGAAAAATTCTTTCCGTAAAACTTACTTGTTCCAGACTTGCACAGTTAATATAAAAAAGCGCGACAGTTGAATTATGGATAATAATATATTATTTTTCGTACTATATTCGTATTGTATTATAGTACGGGTAGCAACCCTATTTGAAACATTTATTAAATCTTTGATTTGAAACGTAGGCAGCGCTCTGGCTATCTTACTTTGTTCGTTTGAGGCATTGGAACAATTTAAAATTTGAAATGCTTTATTTAAGCACTATTGCATATTTACCTAAATTTCTTTCACATTAGTGTATTTTTCGAAAAAAAAAAGGACATACGGCGAACCCAACGTAAAATAATAGCATTGTCTTCATTTCCCCTGACACGAAGCTCACCTTGAATGGCTATTTATGTTTCCTCATCAAAACGAGTCGCCGTGTTTTTTTTTTTGTTTTTGTTCCATGATTAAATTATTCGCATGCAACAGTTGAATTTAGTGGCCGGTTATTTTCAGTAATATTATTATTCTAATGCATTAATTGTTGTAACTGAAATAACAATAAATGCTCTACTTATAATGTCAAGGTTGCGCTTTTAAAAAAAAAAGGAACTCGTTTATTTACGTTCTGTCCTTCTAATGTAACGCTGTATAATAACTTCTGGAGTCTTCGACCGAACCACTTACAAAATATTTCCTTTCGGTATAGTTCTCATGCGTAAGGTACGTAAAGATTTTATATGTAGATATACTAGCTTGCTAGGCAGACGTCGTTCTGCCCTTTTCGACGACCTTTTGTCATGTCCCATTAAAAATCCTTGAATCCGCAAAAAAAAATCGTGGGTCACTCATGGGCAAAAAATCTCTCAAGTCGGACCAAAATGCACGCGGTGTGCAAATTTGATTAAAATCCGTTAAGTAGTTTAGGAGTCCATCGCGGACAAACAACGTGACACGCAATTTATATATATTAAGATTATATGTACTTTTCCTCTATTTTAACAGGTGATGCAATGTTTAAGACTGCACATTAAGTAGGACATAGGATAAATTACTCTTGCGTGAACCCCAATGCACTTGGCGAATATTTTACTATATTATATATTTTAACCAAGTTAAAAAAACGAGAAGGTTCTATATTCAACGCGTATATTTTTTCATGTAAAGTAAGTAGCTTATATATGTACCATTCCTCGGCACACGTCTCCTTTTATTTCTGTGTGAGGGTTTTAGGATAAGAAAAATTCGCCGCCCTGCACCAATGCGCGTCGGAGAAAATCACATGCCTTCGAAATATTTTATTTAATTTCTAAGACGTGCATGTTTCCTCTCAATGTTTTCTTACCCCGTAACGCACCTGGTACCCGTAAATCAGCACTTGAAACTGCAACTAACGATTTCATTTGTGCCGGCGGGGATCGAATCCGGGTAACTCGCATACTGTGATATTTACAGCGAGCGCCTGGCCTCTGAGCTACCACGGCTATAATTTAGCATCTTCCAGTATATTTCTGTGTGTCGAGGCATTATGAGAACATAACAGGACCTGTCAAGTCTATGTAAAAAATGTTATTATCTATAAATCTGTATATCTATAATAATAAATGAAATTGAAGTGTCTGTTAGTAATGTCAAAAGAACAACTTTTAACAATAGTTAAAAGTTGTTCTTTTAAGAAATATCTTTATAGAACAGGGTGACAAACGAGCACACACTCCACCGGATGGTACGTGTTTGCTGCGGCCCATAGACATCTACATCCATCCTCGATTACGAATCAAAATGCAAATGCGTTGTCACCCGTGAGGACTAAGATGGAATGCCTCGTTTCCAATAAAAAGGGTCTACAGTTCTCTACACTCACAATACGAAACACAGCAGCATTAAGCTACTATTTTACGCTGGTATTCTGTGAGAGCGTGGTCCTTCCCCGGTCGAGCCGACCCATTCGTGCTACAACTATATCTACTACTAATATAACTGCGGCATGGCTCTACCACATCTGAAAATATATATGGTACTTATAACAAAAAAAAAATACAATTTTTAAAATTTTTGTTTGTCTCTATGTCCGTCTGTCTGTCTGCTTGTTTGTTTGTTTGTTTGTTCCGTTTAATGTCCAAAATGGCTGGACCGATTTTGACGGAAATTTTACTGGCAGGTAGCTGATGATATAAGGAGTAACTAAGGCAACTTTTATTTTAGAAAAATAATTAGGGTTCTGCGCGAAAACAATAGTGATAAATTCCACGCGGACGAAGTCGCGGGGAACAGCTAGTTATACAAATTATATAGTAAGCAGTTTTTAAACCTATGGCGATTCCTAGCGTACCACAGACTCCTTAATTACGAGTAGGCTCTGACGTAGAAAGCCTACACGCCGCCAGCACTATTACTATATGCGGGATATAGGTTAAGTGCTTTCAAAATTTCGTTGCCAAAGATTTTTTATTCATATCTCGCACGTGGAGAACAAAATTTAAAAATGTTGAGGCGTATTTTTCATTACTTTCTTCAAAAATGTACATTTTAATCACTAGATTTTATCCCTCGCTGACGCCGCGTTCAAACTTACATCACATTCATGAACACTACGCCTTTTGACTATATAATACATCTATAGAATTTACGAACGTGAATTAAAATTTGTCCCATTTCTGAACGTTACATTTACTTATCTTCAAAAATCCACTGCTCGACATAGATTCCCCCCCCCATAGATTGCCTCTTTTTGCCATAACTGCCATGCTCTTGACAAACGGGTTGGCAAACGCCTTTTTTATTATTTCTGGTTGTTAGCAGGAAGATGTTGCCGCCCATCAGTTTCATTATTCTTAGTATATCAACTGAACCGTAGTGAATTCTCCTTATTTCATTTAATTACCTCTCTAATATTTTCTCTTTTTAAAATAACTTTTTATTAAATAACTACATTTCTCTTTATTTGTTAGTGGATTCTGAACGTATCTTTTATTATAATTTCTTTAAAATATGTTTATATATATACAACATGTAACAAATATCCTGTGGTTTACTTTAAGTGCGTTATCAGAATCAGTATTTAAGCGTATAGAAATAACCTTTTTTCAGAACATCGTCCATTAAAAAAATTATTTAATATACAAAAAATATTTTCAAATTTTATGTTGTTTTATTATACATATCTCTAACTGACACGCGCATCGACAAAGCGAGGTCTTGGACTATCCTTTTTCTCCCAGGACAATGCATAGTAATAAAACCACGTAGGTATAATTTGCAAATTAGAATTTATTTTAATTAAGTTAAGGAAAATAATGGTCGAGTCTTCTAAAAAAAGTTATTGCTTGTATATTTTATCTTTTATTTTATTAGTTGGTTTTCAAATTGAATAACTGATTAAAGCAAACAAATTGATTAAAGCCCGATAAGGATTGCTCTGGTAATTTTATTGTTAGAAAATTAAACACGATGAAGCAATGCGGTTTTTTTTAAAGTAAAATTAAAAATAAAGAAAGTTCATTAAATTAAATTATAATATTGTATTTATTGATCTTATTAATAAAGTTATTAATATTTATTTGCACTCAAAAACTAAATCACAAGCCAAATTTTTGCATCGTCAAAATATTTTATCCTATTTTAATTCCTTTTTCTCTTGTTTATTTTTTCGCTTGATGTTCTGCCAATGAATTTTGGAATTGGCCATTTATTTGGAGCTTTCTTTAAGGTATATCAATTCTAAACCATAAGTTATGATGAAAGTTTCCACCCGTTACCACCACAAAAAGCTCAAAGTATTCTTTTTTTTATTAGTGACGTAATAATCGCATTTGGAGTAAAGACAAAAGTTAAGATCCTCGAGACCAAGAGATCCAAGAGATTTCATTTCATTTTAATTAAATAATTAAAAACAAACAATTTTCATACTAAGTATTTGAGACTCCATAGATTAGGTATAGACAGTTTTTGAAAATACGAATAAATGAGGCCTGCAAATAACAATTATTAGAAATTATCCCAAATTCAAAGTGATTTATGGGCAACAAGATTTTTGACTACCGAGCGACCCTTACTTTCGTAAGAGCCGTGTGCGTGCGCAGTAAAGTCAGTTAAAATAATGCATTACCCAGCATTTTGAATTTAAAGGACAAAAAGGACAGAATGTTTGAGATTTATTTTAAATTAACTTTTGTTCACCATTTGCCTATATTACACTTATTCTGAACCTTTTCTGCAAATTTGATTATAGCGAAATAACCCTGTATATACTATGACTGCGGCACTGCTTCTAAAATACAGTTGAATATTGCAGGTGGTATAATGTGTACTTAATTCTGCAGAGTCCAGCGTCGGAGTCGGACAGCAGCTCAGTGTCGGGGGCGAAGAGCCCCGCCGCCGCCCCGCCCCTGCTGCAGCAGATGCTTCAGCTGCAACTACAGGCCCAGAGTCCCCAGGCCATTGCGCAGGTATAACAACTGCTCAATTACTTGAAATGATAAACGAGTCCTTTACATATACATCACAGATAAAATATCCCATCAGATAGCGTCATACACAATAGCTTCAAAATGTCAGACGTAAGACATATAAATCTGATGCATGCGTTTGTATAATCTGTATTAAGATTAAACTTAGAATTGCTAAAGATGTTGATATAGGTGTATTTTCAAACATAAAGTTTTTTTTTATAGATTAAAGGTGACAAAGGAACGCACCGTTCACCTGATGGTAAGTATACACTGTGGCCCGTAGACAACAAATTTAAAATTCCATACTTGGATAAATGACGTTATGATATGGTTACAGCATGAGTGGGTCGGCTCGACTTGACGCTCGAAACACGTTCGCACAAAATACCAGCGTAAAACAGCAGCTTAACGTTGCTGGGTTTCATATGGTGAGTATAGAGAAACAGGCCCTATTTACTGGAAACGAGGCATTCAATCTCAGTCCTCAAAAGTGACAACGCGTTTGCATTTTGTTTCTTAATCGAGGTTGGATGTAGATTTCCATGGACCACAGCATCCACTTTACCGTCAGGTGGACTGTGTGCTCGTTTGCCACCCTTGTTCTAAAAATATTACTTCATTCACCTTAGTTGCATAAGTCTCTTTTCTAAATATACGTACTGCAAACATGTGCACTCGTATGTTTTGTGCGCAAATTATCGTTGAGAAAACAATTGATACAGAAGTACATAACAGAATCGCTGCAAGTTCTGGACAATTATTTGTTAAAATTTAAAACGCAGGAACATATATTTTGAAGATCAGACCGCCTTTTGAATTGTTAAATAAATATCCAAAATGGTCTTTTCTTCAAGACTTACACTTTCCATTGCTTATTTTATAGAATAAGAGTAACAAGCGAGCACACAGTCCACCTGATGGTAAGTGGATGCTGTGGCCCACCGACATACCTATGTTTATCCTCAATTAAGAATCGAAATGCAGTTGTGTTGTCACCCCTGAGGACTGAGATAGAATCCCTCGTTTTCAGACTAACTATCGGACAGCAATTCATTTTTATATATTATAAGATATTCAGTTTTTATATTTTTATATATCTATTATAAGATATTCAATTATTATATTTTTAGTCTTTCCTTTATTCTTGCAATTACTAAAACTATTGCGTCGTAAATTTATCATTGATAAACATTTATATCTGCAATAAAACAATTCACATAGGTATTACACAACACATTTACATTTAAAACACGCTTAAATGCCCAAGACTTGTTAAAATATTTCAGTAATGTAAATTCATAATTAATAATATTATAATAATTTTAAATGTTATGACAAATAGTTACTCGGTACATAATAAACTGTAACATTATTTTGAATTTACGGCCATATTGCATTTGAACTGGCTGTAAAGTCAATATACTTTTGCCTATCCCTAGAGATATATTAATATATTATTTCATGTAAAATAAAAATAATTATGAAAGGATTAGGTAGTATAAAATCTTTACACATATGTATAATAAAAAAGATTTTTTTGTTTGGCTCTGGACATAATTGAACTGGGCCAATGAGATCTTAAAGCTTAATACTCGTACATAACGTGTGTGTAAACCCGTTTCTCGTTATCCCCTGAAGCTGCCATTTACGCAAAATATATGGCAGAGCACAAAGCATTAGCGCAAATACTTAGGCACTCACATTTCTAACCCTTCTTTGTCTGATGACACGTATGAACACTGAACAGGGAGGGTACGGTGCCAGTATCTGAGGAATAAAGAGTTGAATGAGAAAGTGGCATTAGTGTAACTTTTGATTTAACATTAGCGATCCAGGGTTGAAGAACCTTTGGTGCGTTTCATCGCATATATTTGATTTACTAACGGCTTTCCCTCGTACGATCCGTCATGCTAGCGTTATGGGTTTCATTATCAAGATTTTAATTGAGTTTTATTATTTACATTTTTGTCTATATGTATTTTGGTAAAATATTTAACTTTCGTAGTTCCAAATAGTTATGATCATGCTCTTTAGCTAGCTTAGTCTAGTAAATTTGTGGCATCTATTCTAACCTCATAAATAGGAGAGACCAATGTAAAAGTACAATATTGGACTAATACGATTGGCACCAACGTTTTCCATATATTTTCTCGCTGAAAGTCTTAGCCTCTGGTTAAGATAAGAAATAATCTTCGTATCACCAACGATACTTTGTTACAATATACAGTTCCTTTCTACACTTTTTACTGACTCTTCCTAAACGAAACGAGTACCATTTTAGTCTTCAGGGATGACGACGCATCTGCATTTTGATTCTTAAATGGGCCACAGCATCAACTTATCATAAGGTGTAGGTACTATGTGTTGTATGTATGTTTGTCACACTTATTCTACAAAAAAATCTTTGACGCTCTCTATATAAGTATTACGATAGCAGGCCTACACGGATTGGTGTGTGCAGTTCCAGCAGATGCTGGCGGCGTTGGCGGCGCTGGGCAGCGGGCTGGTGCCGCCGCCGCTGCCGCAGGCCTGGCTCATACAGCGACTGGCGCAGACCAGACAACATCCCGACAGGTACGTTTTCAATAACTGCGTTATTTATATTTGTATGCTTTAATAATAAGTTTAGAAATTAAGAAATCTGCTGAAGTGGCAATGGGCCGGCCACATAGCTCGAAGAACCGACAACCGATGGGGAAGAAAGGTTCTCGAGTGGCAGCCTCGTACCGGTAAGCAAAGTGTAAGGCGGGCCTCCACTAGATGGAGTGACGACCTTGTGTCTTACAATGCAGGAACTTGACGAATGCAGGTGGCTTAGGACTGCGCTTTGTGGCATCTCTTGGAGGAGGCCTATGTTCAGCGGTGGACTTGCGAAGGGCTGTAATGATGATGCTTTAATGACGCAACATCTTTACTATCCGACTACAGTGTTTTCTTTCTTGTCTGGAAGTCTGTTTGGATTTGTACTTCAATCTTAGCTATATCTGTCGTCACACAGCAGTGAGGCCACTGTTGTAGACTGGTTTCAAAGGGTAAGGATAAGAGAGTCAGATTTTTGACATTTCATTTTAGTTCTAAGGAGTGTCAACGCATTTGTGCCTTTAATTGATTTAATAATAATAACGTATGTTAACTAACATGAAAAAGATTTTGTTTTACTTTACTTAGGAGCTTTTTTTTGGATTTTTTTTAATCGTTCGATATAAGTAATCCTTCAAATAAATTATGACTGAATGCAAAAGTGATATAATTGAACAATTTTATTAATGCAACTGTAACTGCAATTTTAATTAATTTATGTTGTATTTTACTATATTAATTGTTTTCAGTTTAATTCTCTGTTTAATTAAATGGCCGGTAAAATAAATACATTATCGATTAAAAAAGAATACGTTCGAGTGTTTTTGAAATACTTATATAGTACGTGAGGGTAATATGGTCATCCGGTTAATATGGTCACTTCTTAATAACTTGTTTGCATATATGGCTGTGTGATACGATAGGTCTTCATCAGTCAATCAAATAATAAAGAGTCAAAAAAACACTGCTTTAACGACACCATTTTGACAGTTGAGAATATAATTAATATTTTAGTATGGTGTAGTGTAGTTAGTTTTTTAAGTAGATTTTTCGAAGTGTTCCTAATTATTGCCACAGCTTGTTTGCAATTTTTTTCTTAATATATTAGTTATAGTAGACGACTTTGTTGTCCTAGTCTTGGTTTTATAGGGCGGCAAAGCTTAAGGTGATCGTATTACCCTCACGTATTTTATTTCATGAGGGTTATTAATAATCTGAAAGACTGATTGTGTATGCAATGAAGGCTATAGGGGATTATGTAGTCACACAGATGATACGATTTTATCTCATTGTCTTCATCATCGTTGTCATCATTCCAACGTTATCATGTGCTTTCCAATGTTTACCAATCGAAATATAATTATGTAAGCGAAGATTTTGTAAGAAAATAAATATTACATATTTCATTAATTGACGAAGTTTGAATCACGAAAATTTCTATTTCATTAAATGAGAAGACGTATCTGTTTTCGTAATTCCTACCAGACTATCTATCAACCGAGTTATTATAGCGTCACCTTAACTTTGACAGCTGCAATTTATAACGATTCTGTACATAAATCTTTATTCACCTTAAAAGTCCCTGTCGTAAAAGCGTCCCCCATCAAGGCTAAGTATAAAAACGATTGCATAAATTTTTAATAAAATACTCTGTGGTTCATTTTTCTAATTTTAAAATCTTTTGATTAAGATCCCATCTAAGTTTTGGCGGGAAAGTAACCGCCGGCGAATTGTTGCTCCTGTTTTGTTGCTTATATAATTGCTTATAGTGGTTTTTGATAAAAAAAATGCGATTTTGCGTATTAAGTGCCTGCATGTGAACATTAAAAACTTGTTTTTTGATAAATAGTGAAAACGACGAAACACGTGCTCCGATATTGATATGAGCCTCAAGTTTCTTGTCCGCTTAAATGTCTCAAGAACTTGATATACTGTTATTGACAATCCGTTGGGTTTAATTGGGTCACATTGGACTATTGTAATAAAAATTGAAACAAATATTATATAGGATAATTTCTTAATACTTGATTCTGGCAAAAGTAGAACCGTACAAGTCCATATCTAAATAAAGATCCCACGTGGTTTTAAGTGGTTATAAACTCCTGCATGGTAAATTAACTAAGAAAATTTTTACTTACCCTTAAGTAATCCCAGTGTTCTGCGTCCGGGAATAGAATAATTTATTGATTACATATAGATTACGTCTAATAACCTTTTAATCAACATAACATCAAAATACACAATATGTGTTACCATATTTAAAAAAAACTAAAAGTAAAACCCTAAAATATTATACAGTCCTTCTCTACGCGCTATAGTTCCAATAACGCTGGCTGCGTTTTCTCCTCTTAATGGCTTTATCTAACTCTAAATAATGAATTCCAAACCGTCGACATAATGACATTTACTTGACGAAAGTCGGTTCTTAGATTTTCCACCGTATACAGGTTGCCGTGATATCTGAGCTTTGATTGATCTGAATTGTGGTAACTCGGAGATTGAGCGCTCGTTGTAAGTTTTATAGTTCGCAAACAACCCGGATTTGAACCAAATTTTAATCGAAAGGAATTTCCATTGCAATTTTAAGTGCAAATTTACTATACCATATGTTCAGCGGTGAAGAAAACTGTCGTAAGGAAACCTGCTAAAAACCAAACCTGTCTAAGAAATAATATATTAAATAAAATATATAATGAAATATACATTCGATACGTTAGCTTTTTTTATTAAGAAATTCTCGTTCGTTTTCCTTTCCGTCCGATTCATTCAACTCAACACATTTTTTCTTAGAATTTGTTTTTTTAGTAAAAAAGATAGTCCTTTCCGTGTAGGTAGGGTTGGTTACCTTCTCTTCTACTAATTTCTGGTTTGATGGCTATGAGGCATTCCATCAGATGAACTACAAATTCTTTTGTCACTTCAATTTTGTAAAAAATATGTGATTCACTGCAAAGAAAAAAATGTCCAATCCAGAATGTTTTAGAAGCTTAATTTTAGTTATGGACTTATAATTTTCTTTTAACATTTTTTTTACGATTTTTCCAAATAACAAAAATGAAAAATGTTTGCTACCCCTGCTTTAGTTCTTTTATTTATTGCGTTCATCAAATATACGATCGAATTTGCGGTCAAAAGTTTGTTTTATAAAAAGGTACAATTCAAGCTTGATGTAATTTGAAAATGGCCTTTAAAATAATGGCTCTAAAAACTATTTACCGTCTTTCTAATTTGTCCGCATTTTTTGCTTTGCTGCATAATGATAGACATGCTAGCTGTATGGTCAAACACATGGTAACAATGTAACAAGCAGCAATTATGGCCGATGACTTCAGCAGATGCGCACGGTATGAAGACGTTGCTCTTTGCAAATGAACATGTTACACGTTTGAAATGCGACTTGCTTAACAAATGCTTGTCCAATTTTTTTATACCGCTTCCAGTTTTTATAAATGTATGTTTTTTTCTTTATAAAGCATTTTTATAAAATAAGTGTGACAAACGAGTACATAGTGCATCTAACGGTAAGTAGCTGCTTTGGTCCATATCATCATCTATATTTATCATTGATTAAAATCAACTCAAAATATAAATGAGCTATCAACCCTGACGACTTAGATGGAATGCCTCGTTTCCAGTAAAAGGGTTCTCTACCCTCACCATACGAAATACAGCAGCATTAAGCTGCTATTTTACACTGGTATTTTGTAAGAGCGTGCTCCAACCCCAGTCGAACAGACCCTGTAAACATAACATAGATGCAGCGTGGTTCTACCACGTGGATATCAATGATTACTTATATTTTTATTATCAATTATTACCTACGTTCCTCAACTGCTGTAACAAGCTTAAATGATTTCTGCCATGAATTTACACTGATTTAATTACTTGAGATATCTTTTGTCCGATCCCTATTCTGGCCGATTTCGACCAAGGCAACTTCTTTCAGCAATATCTGAAGCTTTTATAAAGAAGTAAGAGATATTAGAGTTATATTTAAAAAAAACTGACAAATTATATGCATTAATACGTATGAACTAATAATAAAAGCATTTGCACGAGGTAGAGCCATGCTGCTGTTATATTAGTAGTATTAGCGTAGTTGTAGCACGAATAGGTCGGCTCGACCGGGGAAGGACCACGCTCTCGCAGAATAGCAGCGTAAAATAGCAGCTCAACGCTGCTGTGTTTCGTATGATGAGTGTAGAGAACCGAAGACCTACTTTACTGGAAAGGAAGCATTCCATCTTAGTCCTCACGGATGACAACGCATCTGCATTTCGATTCGTAATCTAGGATAGATGTAGTAGTACAATGTCTATGGGTCACAGCAACCACTTACCATCAGGTGGACTGTGTGCTCGTTTGTAACCCTTATCCTATAAAAAAAACATACTATACACAGCAGCATTATGCTATTTTACGCTGGTAGGTACCTATTAGTATTGGGAGTGTGATCCCTGGTCGACTTGAAACTAACCTATATTTATTCACATCACGTTAATATTGTATAAAAAGAAACTCTAATTACTTATTGTCACATACACGAGTCGGTCATGTTTCAATTTTTCGCTCGAACTCGTTGAAAGTTATGACCTGTTTTATTTATAACTTATTCACATGAATGCCCTTAAATAAAAAATTGTAACGTAAATATATAAATAATTCAGCTCGAACATTAATTCAAAAACAAACGTATCTCGTTTCAGATAAATAAAGATGGATCCTTGAAACTCGGTATGAATTTGCTTGCAGGGTTGAACGTTTCCTCGATTCAAAATTATTGTTAAATACTTTGGCCGTGTAATACATAGTTCCGTGCTGTGAAAATTGCTATGATATATAAAAATAATATATATATAACTAACGACACACTATATAACATAATATATATAGAATATATTAAATAATTTAGATTTTGAAATAATACTAGTTTTTACGGAATTTATCGCGTATATTTAACTTTTTAAATACCCAACGTTTCGAGAGCTTTACAG